GAATGTGCTCAATCTGAGTGACAACAGTTTTTCTAAATTTATGAACAAACTGCATGAAATGTTTATTTTTTATAAGAAACATCTTTTGTAGGATTTTCAAAAATATTTATTTAATCAGGCCTACTACTTTAGTTTGGTAGAGGTGCATAAATTATGCTCCCCTCTACTGGTTAGACCTGAAAGTGCATATTTTGCTATTATTGGTTAAAAATAATAATGTGCGGTTTGTTTATGTTTGTGTGTTTTCTTTTATTTCCAACACTTTGTTAACCATTATGATTTAGTTAAATGCCTTAAATTGGTCATAACGAAGCTCTTATGTTACTTGTTTTATTAGTTGTTWTTATGCTCATGAGTTTTCAGTTATTTAAAATTATAGACTGCTTTATATTATGATTATAGAATATTAAATATTAACACTTGGCCTCTCACCCCCCCCACCAAAAAAAAAAAAATCTAAAATGAATTTGTGAAGTCAAATCTGCAAATTCAAAACATGAAATTGCTTCTTTCAAAAGCTGCAATTTATTACATGCCCATAGGATGGCGATGTTGTCAAAGTAATTAGGTGCAGTGCAGCGACTAAACAACACTGTTCTTGTTTTACTTCCTGTCATTTAATTATATTTAATGATTTAAGGAAAATTGTATTTTTGTATGCAGTTAACATCACTGTTATATCGACGGAATCCGTTTTAAGTCAAACAAACAAGCTTGAATTATTGATGCTTTCAAAGTAATCGGAAATTTAGATGTAAACTGTACTTGACGCAATTCCATTATCTAATATCCAAATGCGCCTGGAACTTATAGTACAACTAAATTTATACTTTCAGCATTGCTTGTAGTCTTTTTTATTTTTTTATTTTTTTTTAGTATTTTTACCCAAAGCATTATGAAACCGTGCGTGTTTATGTTGTCGAAAGTGAAAATTTAGACATTGGGGAGTTTCTATGAAGGCAGCAAGTCCCATCCAACATGGCGGCGCAGCGCATGACTACAATGCAAAGCGTAAGTAAAAACTGTTGTTTATAACTCTTACTGGCCTTTAAGGTGCTKGTTTAACCAGGTTTAGATATTAATTTGTTGTTGTTGTTGTCTCTCGGTGCTCGTTGTTGCTTTCATTGTTTGGTTCAATGTTGTTTACGGTCATTCAGCATTGCCATTGCAGCTTAGTTGAGTTTAAATGCTTTGCTAGTAACAGTGAGTTAGCTAATGGTATTTTCAAAACAAGGTAATGACAGCATTTTAMGTTTGTTATCAATACGTAAAAAAAATTACCATCAATTCGGAGGAGTGGCGGTAGCTGTGAGGAACTATCTGTTTATAGACATAATCTGAAATTAMATTTAATGTGACGTTCGTGAACGATCCGAATCTTTTGAACGACTCTTTACAACGAACGATAGGAGCCGAGTCGCGGGCAGTAACGAGCCATTTGTAGTTGTATTTCTTTTATTCCTCATATGATCTTTATTTTTCATACTTAAACCGCTTCTGCTTTGCTTTTTTCACGGAAAACCAGCAGAGTTGTGGAGTACAGAAGCTCACGGGGGAAGGGGGAGGGGACATCCGGCCGCTTGACAAATCACATGGTTCCACTGACGTGACGGGATAACATCATCACGTATGGGTACGTGATGGCGTATTTCCCTACTTGAAGACGTAACTCGTTCAAAATCGAACGGCTCTTTTGAACGGCTCTATGATAATAAGATTTTAAAAAAAATTGATTAATAAAGTCTAAATATACAGTTATATAAACAACAATTTAGAAATACTTAACATCTGAACCACACTGCATACCAGTCGGTGGCGGTAATGCACACCAAACGTTTTTTGCGAACCGCCAGAAAAATCCAGAAGAAGAAGAACAGTTCTATGAAACAAGCAATTTTGTGGTTTATTCTTGTTATTTTGGATAAATTGGTGTTTTTTAAAATAGTAATAAAAGGTTTTGTACCTTTTGTACTTTTTGAATAAATACTTTTCATTTTAAAATCAATGACGTGTTAAAAACACCATGGGCGTGGGTATGACATTATTTCATTACCTAATTGTTAAAAAAAACTGGACATAATTCTGTGAAAAACCTTATTGGGAGAAATCAGTGTGAACACTCAGGTGAAATGCAGCTTCTTTTAGCAGGCATAAACAAGTTTCTCTGTCAGAAAGCAGTGAAACTCCAACACAAGCACTTACACAAAGGTTGTGTGGTGATCCAATTAGTTCATGAAACAAGCCAAAACTCGAATCCTGAACCAGCGAGGCTTCAGACGTCACCGGTGACGTCACCCACCATTAACAACACAAGCTTCAGCACGCGCTTCATTAAAGACCTCCAGGTTTTCTCAACACACGTTCCAAAGCTTCGGCACAGGAAGACCCATCACTAGTTTTGGCTACACCCTCCTTCAGTACACAATACCACTTTAGCACATTTAAAGATTTTCAGTATTCCACATCAGTGTTTTTCAACCCTGGTCCTCAAGGCACACTGCCCTGCATGTTTTAGATGTTGCCCTGCTTCAACATACTGTATCTAGGAGACCTCTAAAACATGCAGGACGGTGTGCCTTGAGGACCAGAATTGAAAAACACTGTTCTACATAGGGGAGGGGGGCGGTGAGCAAACTATTAATGTCGGGATAAAAATAATAAACTGTCTTTCAACCTTAGGCCTGTCGCGATAGTCAATAAATGAATTAATTGCACGATAAATATTTTTGAGGTCGGTAAAAAAAAAAAGAGGATGATAAGTTTCATTTTCCTGCTTGTTCTTTTACTTCGTCTCTCTCCCTCTCTGTGCTCCGCTACACAGGAGCTCAGCTGACTCCTCCCCTCCTGTTTTCTTAGTGTCGGGAGGTGTGAACTCTCGCTTTATGGTGCGTTCACACCAAACGCGATTTCAGCGTCAGGAGCATCAGGTTTACATGCAAAGTCTATGGTGGACGTGCTTCAATCAGCATCGG